TAAGTTATGGAAAAAGACCAAGTACCCAAAGGGCAGAGGAGTGACTCAGAACAATGTGATAATCTCTCTCTTTAATACGAAATTCTACTCAGCTATAAAAAAGGATGAACTCCAGCCATTTGCAACCTGGATGGAACTGGAGAGAAAAATGCTGAAACAATTCATAAAGAGAAAAACAAATACCAAGTGATTTCATTTATATGTGAAATATAGAAAAACATGACAAAATGTTAGTCAAAATCAAACCAATAATATTTGATTGCAAAACTGAAGCTTCTGTGGCAGGTGGGGGTTGGAAGTAGAGGAGGGAAAGGACCTGGTGGAACATACTGGAAGATTGTTGGGGAACTAGTAGTGAGCAGTTATAGGTGCATGTATGTATGTATGTACGTCTGTAGACATACATACATACATACATACATGCACCTATAACTCCAGGAACAGATTCAAAGATAGGAATCTGTTTTACCTCAATAAACATAATTTTGGGAAAAAAATGAATCAGTGATCTTTGTTAACTTAGTGCTACCTTGCATGTTTTCTATAACATCCCTAAACCCCCATCTCCTTAGTCTCCAGTAAAAAGGTAGATGGCCCATATTAAAAAAAAGCAAAGATTGTGACCTCAGAGAGACAAAAAAGAAAAGCATGTTCATTATTTTCTAAATATAATTCTTATCAAACAAGACTTTTGACCCACCATTCTTAATTATCTAAGTTCTAAGTCTTTAATTAATAACTGAATGATCACTTTAATTAATGATTGAATGATCTGGTTACTGAAGAGGCAAGGACATTTTTCAGCCTTAATGTCAGTTCCTTGCACAGCAGACTAAACTCCACGCTTATAACATTTTTTGACCCAGATTGTGGAAATCTTTCCAGAACAGACATCTAGAATCTTTCCAGAATACAGATTATCTGGAAGGAAAGTTAAAAAAAAAAAATTCATTCCCCCATATTTAGCAGTGATCTGGGAAGGTGGATTTTAAATTTATTTAAGCACAGTTCCTAATCTCTTCTCTGTCCAGATGAATCTTTTTGGTTGCTTTAGAACAGTTTCTTTTCTCTGGTTTGAGTATTTGCTCTTTTGTTAAGCAAGTGGGAAGCTAGGGAGCAACCCCAGCCCTAGCAAAGTACTTAATCAGACCTCCAATTAATAGGGAAATGCTATCTTTCCACTCCTTGCAATATCTTTGAGCTTGCAGAACATCTGCTACGCAGTAAGTTTCCAGAGAAGCTCGACTGACTCCCACCTTTTTGAGAACCAGTGGGTGTAAAGCTTCTCAAATATACTTCGGTGACCCCAAAGAGAGCTACAGATGAAAAAAGACATCACAAACTCCAACACACAATGAGGGAAAAGGAGTAGGTAACAGGCCGTCTATGCCCCAAAGCAGGCATTCATTATTTATGGGGCTAGACCTACCACCATACATGAACAAGCCTAGTTCAGTAAAAATGCAATTGTACATTGTTTCCACCAGCACCAAGCCAGGAGAACAGTAAGTTTACTCTATGTCAAACAGAAGGGGATTTACAACAGGAGTTGTTTGCAAAAGTATTGGAATGATTAGCAGGACAAAAGGCGAAAGTCTACAGAACAATGAGGGTAACACTTAGGTGCAGGGTGCAGACACTTGAAACTAAACAACAGTGGTCCTTCCAGGCATCCTGAACTACTCAGGTTAAAGCCTGAAGCTACATTTTTTAACCCTCCATGGCAGCTGAGTCTAGTCAGGTTTTTTCCAATGTGAGGCACTGGTCCAAGAGTCGAAACAGGAAGAATGCACAAGTCAGCTTGTTCCTGGCAATATATTCAGATGTGTGAATTCTAGGCTCCTCCAGACATCAGTAGCTGCCCACAGGGGAGCAGCTGAGCGTAGCAGTACAGCAAGTGTGTGTGTTCGTGGACTCTGGAAAGACCTTTTGCAACTCTAACCCTAGGGCCCAGGAACCCATGAGCTTAGAGGTAAGTCTCAGAGAATAGTTCAAAATGTTTCTCTTTTGTACTCCTTGGGTTTGAGACCAATTTAACCATTTAATTTGGTTACAGATTCATTCCATTACATTAATACTTCTGATTTCTCACACCATTAAGAAATAGAAATACTCTAATGCTCTATATTAAATGTTGCAAAGCCCAGATTGCTTTTGTTTGGTTTGCATGGTGCTTTGATCTTTATTTCATAAAATAATATTCGCTATTTATAAATGGGGAGATTTTGCATAAGGATCTATATTTTTCAAAGTTTGTTCAAAAATCTAGTGGCATTGGACACACATTGCTTTACATGAGTCCCATGTGCTTTCAGCCCGCTTCCTTGGGTCTCAGGCCCATCTACCTTTTGTCTAGCCCAGGCGTTTGGGTTTGTAATACCTGGACAAATCCTGAATCTGCATTTTTAAAACTGTATATTTTTGTCACTTTCTTCCTCAGTTTTATACTGAGTTATTTAAAGATACACAAACAAAATGCACCTTCAAAAGCATATGTTCAAATCCTATTTCCTTAGTACCTCAAAATGTGATCTGATTTGGTAATAAGGTCTTTACAGAGAACACCAAGTTAAAATGAGATCATTAAGGTAGGTCCTAATACAATATGAATCGTGTCCTTATAAAACAAGAAAAAATTGGGCACAGCAACACAGATAAAATGAAGGTGACCTGAAGACACACAGAGACTGCTACGTGTCTATAGTAATGCACCTGCAAGCCTGAAAATGCAAACGATTGCTGGAAACACCATTAGCTAGAAGAGATAAGGAAAGATCCTCCCTTAGCGAGGACAAGGCCAGAGAACAAGGCCCTGTCTTTCTACATTGATCAAGGTCAACTGTGATAAGGTTACAAATCTTTTTTTTTTCTTTTTTGGAAATATTTTTTTATTTTATATTTTTATAATATAATTTTATTATATATATATTTTACATTGTTCTTCCTTTTGGCTTTTTTTCCCATTGGAATAGAGTTGAGTAATTTTTTAACTTTTAAATTTTTATTGTTATATATTTTTAACATCATTTTTCACTTTTATATACTATGTGCTTTTTTATCTCATGTGTAGTCACCATGAAATTCCCACCACCAGTTCACCCATGTACCATCCTTGTGTTCTTTCCACCCCTGTTTTGATCATATCCCCTTCTCCCCCCTGCAGAATGGCTCTGGTTTATAGTTTACAATCAGAAAAGATAAACTATGTCATATGCAGCACCATGGATAGAGCTGAAAGGGCTCATGTTCAATGAAATAAACCAGAAAGAAAAATACTGGATGGCTTCACTCTTAGGAGGAATGCAGAGGACCCAAATAAGGGCTGGGGGGATGGGAGGGAAGAAATTATTATAATAAAATAAACATCAGAATTGTGACCTAGTCTGCTACTTTTGATGTTTATTTTTAATATCTGGCTTCCAGAATTGTGAGAGAGGATCAATTTCTGTTGGTTTAAGCCACCTTTTTTTGATACTTTGTTAAGGTTACACTAGGAAAACAATTCACATATAAAAGCACAGGGTATTAATATGTGAATGGGAGAGATTCATACATAAAAAAGAAAAAGAAACCATCAATACTACTCATAGCAAGGAACAATACCTTGAGTGTATCTTATACTAAGTGAAAGTCAACCTCTAAAGCTTACATAGTGCATGATTCCATTTATATAATATTTTTCAAAGACAAGATTTTAAAGATGGAGAAAAGGTGCGGTCTTTTAAGGAGATTGGGGTGCAGGGTACAAGGGAAGGAGGAAAGGTGAATATGGCTATAGAAGAGAAACAGGAGAAATCCTGGCAGGGGATGTACCCCTGTCTTGCCAGTGGTAGTGGGCACAGATGTGTACGTCTGTAACAAGACTGTACAGAGCTAAATACACATGCGTGCAAATATGAATCAAGGAAAACTCGCAAAATATGAATAGTCTGTGAGTTTTATCAAGATTACATTATACTACAGTTATTCACAATGTTACCGCTAGGGGAACAGATAGAAGCCCAGAGATGTCTCTACTAATTTCACTCTCAGAACTGGAATTTTCTGAGTGTATCCGGAGCGTTTTCATTACAGACCTGGGTTTTCACTATGGTCAGGCTGAACTGGAGTTTCTAGAAAAGAAGCAAAACAAAACGAAAACAAACAAAAGATCGCCGCGAAAGAAAAGGCTGGTAGACTAGTAGAACCTTATAAGGCACAGAGATGAAACCCGGCAGATCCCCTGCCCATTTCTGCTCCCTCCCACAGCCCCTCAAGTATTTGAAATGTTACTGGGAAGTTGCTGCAGCAGGGATAAGACTAAGTGACGGGGCAGGAAGCCGGGAGGAGAGTGAGCAGACGGCCTGGGTAAACGCTCCTGCTGCCAGACCCGGGCGCCCTGGGCAAACGACCTGGCCAGCCACACCGCAGCGACACCTTCACTGTCACCCTGGGGCACCCGGCCCGAAAGGCGGAGCGACAGCTGGATCACTCTTACGCCAGCTCAGGGCCCAGGAGTTGGAAGTCAGAGCAACTGAATGAGACAAGGGGAGATGACTAAACGCAGCTGAAGTCAGGTATAAACGCCGACCAGCAGGGTTTGCTGGAACGTTGCCGATGACTTTGCTAGGGGACATTAGATCGAAAGAATTTCTGGAGTCAGCCCGGGCAAGTAGAGAAGAAACGGAGGCAGACCCCGGGCCTCCGCAGTGGAAAGTCGGGTCCAGGCTCTCCGCGGCCAGCGATGCTCTACAGACCTGGGCGGTGTGCCGAGGGTCCAGGCGGCCGCCGGGGCTTTTCCTAGAGGAGGGGTTGGGGATGCTGAGTCACGGATCTGTCATTGCTTCTCACCTCTCTCCAGCCCTCCGGGGGCTAAAGCAAAAGCGAAAGCAAATGCCACTCGCGGGGCGGCCAGTACCGAGAGCTGCTCCCTCCACATCCTCCCGGACTGTGGGGCATCTGCACGCGCCGGCAGCCGGGCATCCCGGTCGGCCTGTTTGCACGCGGCTGAACGTTCAGCCATGGCCTGCCGGCCGCTCCAAGGCTGCGGGGTCAGCGCCCTCCCTGCGCTGCTGCTGCTGCTGCTCGGGCCGCCGGCGACTCCGGGTAGGGAGAGGCGTGTGTCCCGGGCGGGGAGGTGGAAAGAGGCTGGGGCGGCCGCGGGAACTGCACTGAGCGCCCCACTTACGGTCGTGGCGAGTGGGCCGGGGGAGGTGTGTACGCAGGACTGGAGAAGGGAAGGGGCGTTGCGCCCGCGCGCAGGGACACGTGTAGGGAGCAGTGGGGAGAGACTGCGCTGGTCCCCGCGCTCTAACCCACCCGGCAGGTCGGGTCGCCCAAGGAGGGAGCCGCGTGGCGGGTGTAATTCCACTAAGGGTTTTCCAACCGTTTTGAGAAATGCGTGAGTGCAGTCTCCAGGACCCACCCCAAAGCCGCGAGAGTGGTTCGACCCTGAGTCTGGGGTGGGTAAGTGGTAGAACCGGGTAGGGACTGCGTCCCTTGGGAGAGGAAAATGTGTGGGCAGGTTGCGCACCTTGGGAACCTGGAAACAACTCCAAATTCTTAAGCTTCAAAAGCCGTGAGAGGGCGTGGGCGTGGTGCCCGCGCTTGGGCAAAGGAGCAGAAAAGAAGTTGATGAAGGCTTGGTGGATTCGAGAAGGTAGGTCATGTAGATGGTATCTCAGAAGGAGAATTGAGTGCGTGAGTTTTGACCCTGGAGCGACAGAGGAGGGAGGAGAAAGACAGACGGATCTGACTTTATCCTTGTTGGTGCTACGTAAGTTTTTTTGTTTTTGTTTGCTGTTTTTTTTTTTTTTTTAGTTAGGCTGCTCTCTGAAAGCTACAAAGCTTCTACCAATAAAAATGCCTAAATGCACATCCTTATAAAACTCGCAAATAATTTTGAAATGAACTGCACACTGATGGTCATCTGCCTTCAGAAGATTCAGTAACCCCATGAAGTTTGTGTGTATGTAAGGCAAGTCACCCAGTAACTTGCATCCAGTCAGGCCAGTCTACTCAGTACTAGCTGAGAGCCGTCAGCTGAACCTCATAGTTAGGAAGGCTCTCATGAAGTTTCATTTTTAAGATACTATAATGTTTGGCTTTTTTCCCCCCCCCCCCCCCAGCTGAAAAGCTGAATTATGATCAGTTCCTACCCTCTGGCTAGCCAGCCTCAGCTTGACCCAGATTCTGTTCCAGAGAACTCTGTCTTAGAATGTGAAAGTGAGAAGCCAGCAAGGATCAGCTGTCTGCTTCAAAGTGCAGATAGGGAGCACTACAGGCAAGATCTTAAGCTCATCAACCACACTTGTTCTTTGACCATACCGAGATATTGCTGCCATCCTATAGCTCCTGACGTTTCTTTAAAGACAGCTTTATTGAGCTATCGTGGACAGATAATTAGCAGTATACATTTAAATCATACAATTGGGTAAGTTTAGAGGTAAATATATTCACTTGTGAAACCACCACAATGAAGAAAATAATATTCACTTAGACAGTTTCCTCATGGGACCTCCTAGTGGCCCAAAGGCTTAAAGCCCAGCACTGCAAAGTTAGCTGCAGCTGCTTGGGTGAGAGTTCCATCCCAGGCTGGGGAGGTGACCCACATGGCTGCTCCCCTCAGCTGTGTATTTCAAAAGATCTCCCTGTTCTGCTCCCCACTCTGTCTCTGGTGAATCCTCTCACCACTCCTGCACCTCTGGCCTTTAAATAAAAAACAAGAAGAAAGACAAGTTTCCACACTCCTTACTGTAGTAGCTGGCTGTGCCCCGCTCTAGCAACTACTTTGTGCTTTCTGTCACTATTGATTTGTTATATTTTCTAAAATTTTACATGGATGGGATCATATAGTATATATTCTTCTTGTCTGGCTTCTTTTACTAATAGTAATTATGCTGAGATTTCATCCATCTACATTATAACTTGTATCAATACTTTCTTTCCTCTTCATTGCTGAGTAGCATTCCATTGCATATACAAAGAATGTTGCTGTGAACATTCACATGAAGGTTTTTTTTTTTTTTAAGATTTATTTATTTATCATACAGAGCTGGGGTACAGGCCAGAGGTGCAGAGACAGTGAGAGGATTCCCCAGGGATAGAGTGGGGAGCAGAACAGGCAGACTGATGAAGTACATTGCTGAGGGGAGCAGCGGGAGAGATAGAAGAGGTCTGTGCCATGTGGGTCAGCTCCGGGCAGGGGATCGAACTCACACTGAAGTGGCTGCTGCTAAGCTTTCAGTGCTGCATCCTAACCCATTGCCATCAGGGAGGGCCCACATGAAGATTTTTCAGTGGACATAGGCTTTCATTCTCTTGGATAGAAAAAATGACTAGGAGTGGGATGATTGGATCACATGAAATGTATGTGTTTAATTGTAATTAAATTGATTAATCAATGCCAAATCACTTTCCAAAGTAAATATATCAGTTTATATCCTCATCAGCAATGTATGAGGATTCCAGTTTCTCCACATACTTGTCAGCACTTGGTATTTAAAATATATACTTATATTTACATATTTTCCAGGTTTATTGAGATACAACTGACATATATTATTATGCAAGTTTAAGATGTATATTGTGATGTTTGATTTATGCATATATTGTGAAATGATTAACCCTCTAAGGTTAGTTAATGTGTCCATCACCTCACATAATTATCTATTTGTGTGTGTGTGTGTTTGGCCTTTCTAGTTGTACCCATTCAAATAAGTGTGTAGTAGTCTCTTGTTTAATCTTTAACTTGTATTTTCTAATAATGAAAATATTGAGCATTTTTTCATGTGCTTATTTGCAATCTATATATCTTCTCTGGTAAATTTGCCCTTTTAAAAACTGAGTTGTGTGATTATTGAGTTTTGAGAGTTCTTTATATATTCCATGCACAAGTCCTTTATTAAGCTTATTATTTCCAAATACTTTCTCCAAGTCTGTGACTTGCCTTTTCATTCTCTTAATAGTATCTAGTGACTAGTAGAAATGTTTAATTTTGGTGAAGTTCAACTTATTTTTTTCTGTTATGATTATGGTTTTAGTGTCATATCTAAAAAATCTTTCCATTAACCCAAAGTTACAAAAATTTTCTTTGTGTTTTCTTATAGACTTTATATAGGGTTTAGATTAATATGCCTGATTTATTTTGAATTAATTTCTTTTATAAGGTGAAGTATGAATTAAAGCTTTTGTACTGGTTTGGTTCCAGGGGTTTTTGTATTTGGACATCCAGTTGTTCCATCATTCTTTGCTGCAAGGTTATCTCTGCTAAGTTGCTCATATCTCATGAACATTAGCTGCCTGAGTATATGTTATAGATTGAAACATTAACATATAGAAATCATTTCTATTTCTATAATTAGCAACTAGCAATTGAAATTTGGGGGACTGTTGGTGGCACAGGAGTTAAAGACAGTATTATCAAGCTATCACCAGCCTCTGCAGCACAAATTTGATCCCCATCCGGCCAGGGAGCTGACCTACAATGGTGCAGCACACCTCGCCTGTCCCACCTGCTGCTCTCTCAGCAGTATATTTCAGTAGACCTACCTGTTTGCTACCCACTCTGTCTCTGGTGAATCCTCTTACTCCCCACACCACATCTGGCATCTATACCATAGCTATTCTATGCAAAAAAAATTTTTTTTAATAAATTTAATTTACAATAAGATCAATAATTATGAAGCAGGGATAAATCTGACAAAAAATTAGAGATACCAATACATGGAAAACCACTGCTATTGCTAAGAGAAATTAAAAATATAAACAAATGGAGAAATGTCCATGTTCAAGGATTAAACAGTCGATCTCATTAAGATGTCCATGTCCCCAGAAATTGACAAACTAATTGCAAATTTTACATGGTAATGCAAAGACCTACTACAGCTAAAAGAAATTTGAAAAGGAATTGAGTCAGGGAAATAACACTTCTGATTTTGAAATATATTATAAAGTTATAGTGATCCAGGTGGTGTGGTGTTGGTGTAAAGATAAACAAAAGGTCAATAAAATAGGGGATGCCCAATGCTTTTGAGTGAGTTTGGAAGGATTTGGATCCAAGTTATTAAATTTACTACTTTGTAGTATAATCCTGATCAGAAATTATAGAGAAAAGCCCATTCTTTATCACTAGCTGGATAAATAATTCAGTCTCACGTCTTTTTCTGCTGGTTTACACTGCTACTAAACAAAGCAAGTTGCTATCTGTCTGCACTTATTCAAAAGGCTTGCTGAAGGCCACAGATGATTTGCCAAAAGCAACTGGAGAAGACAATGATCTATTTGAAGATAAATACCCCCTGCTTACCAGTTCTGATTTGGCTTGAATATATAGAGAATGAGGGCACCGGGAGTTTTAGAACTTACATGTCTCTGGATATTTTTAAACCATTTTTCAGAACTCTAGAGAATTTTTTCCAAATCTTTTATTTTTTATTTCAAATCAATTTTCTCCAGTTATTATTGTTTTTTACTGCTACTAAAAGCAAAAAAAAAGTGATAAAAATTTAAATGTACAAAGTATAAGATTGGTTGTAATCAACCTAAATTTCAACAGAGGGGAACTGCATGAGTAAAATAGAGTTGTTTTCAAATAGCATCATATGATTCAATTTTTACTAGAAGGTCATAAAATTAGTTTGTTTTTTATCAGAGTGCGTGAATGTGTGTGTAACTGGCCACCTTTTTAAATTTTGTCATAACTTGAATTGCTTTTATAATAAGTAAACTAAAATAAAACACAAAGTAAATGACAATAAAAGTCTAGAATTTTGTGTTTATAATAGATTTTTAATTAATTATAGTTGCTCTCCCAGTTTTGCATTGTTCTCCTAACTATAAATTTTGCAACTGCTCAAAATAAATTCTGTATAGTCACTGCATGTAGCATTTGTACATACTAAACATACATATTATAATTACATATTTTTTATTATATAAGTGTTTAAATAACTCCTAGTGCTTGAGTTGTGTGTGGGTTTTAATGATCTCTCAATGATTGTACATTTAGATTATCTCAAATTTTTCATGTTCTAAACAGAGTAGGAGTAATTGTATGAATATTAACTATATAAGGCAAAAAGAGGAAGAAGAAACTCCTCAGTGTC